CATCTGGTGAAAATTTCATGTCATTAGCACCTCTAGTAATATATTTACTGAGAAAAATGGTGACGTGTTCAATACTTATTTTACCCGTTGTATGTGGTTGTTTGGCATTCATTTTCACACGCACCTTTCACACACCTTGAGACACACTGTGCCAAACTCCCGAGAAACCTCTCCCGATTCTGTATAAGTATATCACTAGAGGGGGTTTCTTCCCGCTGGAGTCTACAATGCGGAAAAAAAATCGGAGACCTGTCACCCGATGTTATTTGTGCATAAATCTGTCGCAGTTGAGGCATTCAGTGTTTTTTCGTGTTCTCACCTGTTTGATTCCTGATTGGCTACCACCTCCAAGTGGCTGCAGCTGCTACTAATCTGGCTCATCACTGTTGGCTTCATAAGGAGGACCTGAAGATCAGTTCTTCGCTGATGCATCGTTTACCTTTGGTATGATTCTCAGCCCCTCTATGACTTTTTTCTTAGAATTTTTATAATCCTGTTCTTTGTGCTCAGATACCTTTTGATCTCTACCTGGACCATCTTCCTCTTGTAATCCTGAAGCCCCTGAAAGAGAGCCACTCACCTGTCCTCGTGCTGCGCTGCCTGTCTGCCTCTAACTGGAAACTACACCACTTACCTCAGAGAACCTCTTCTCACCTGGAAACCTTGGACCTACTCCTCAGTGCTGAGCCTTCACCTCCCTCCTGTAAGAACAAAACTTATTCCCCTGCAAAATCCTCTTCATTTATTTATCTGCTCCATTACTCACCAAGACCATCTTCTCTTCCAGGACTGAACCCCAAAACCCCATCACCTGTAAATAAAAGCACTTACTTTTAATTTCTGTCTCTGGGTCTGTTTGTCACTGCATTTCTCAAAACTTTGACTAAAACCTCGTACCTGATAGCAGTTAAACCCTTATTCGTTTTTAGTGTGAAATACTAATAACCAATATGAATGGATAAACACAAAAAGCACATTCATGTAAATTCAGTGTATTTTGTGATAGATTCATGTGAACTGAAGACACTTTTTTTGTGCAAAAAAAGTTTATTCCAATGTTTTAAGTTAAATTTAAAGTTTGCAAAAAGTAGCTCTGGGACAGTTTCATTTTGTGAAAGTAGCTCTTAAGGAGATAAAGGTTGGAGACCCCTGATCTAGACTGACTGCAGTATGATTTTTAAGCCCCACACCTTGATGTGAACAAATATTTGCCTCATATAAAAATGAAACTTCACTTTAGATAATTTTTTCAGCTTGATTTTGGGTTTGCTGATAAATGATACGTAAATACATTATTTTAATACATTTAGTTTTAATGAGTTATTTAGAGCTTTTAAAAATGTGTCACTTTACATCGTAACTAACTATGCAAAATTGTGCAAAATCAATCTTTTTTAAGTTTTATATCATGTTATAATGTCATTCCCTCATCAAAAACATATCCAGTGTTGTTTTGACTCATTCATGCATGTTTGAGAAATCCTTGATTCTCCTGTGGCCGTGTAGAGCTGTCTAAACAGTTGCTGGTACAAAGCACCGCCTATTCACACAAAGCTCCTCCCTCACAGAGCACCCCCTTCCCTGAAGCATCGTTGTTAAGACGTGCTGAAGTGGGAGTGTCAGAAATGGTAGGAGGTTCTTAAAGAAATAGAGGCAAATTTCAAGGCATTTAGATTTATATGATGTAAAGTTATTTTTGATATTTTCATGACTGAAGGGAACATAGTTTATTGTGGTATAGAATTGAAACATGTGCCTGGAAAATACATACCACCCCCCTAAACCCTCCAGCTGATCTACATGTGTGATGGGAAAAAGGCAAAGAATGAATATCTTTATTGGGGATCAATAAAGTAAATATTATTATTATATTACCAGGTACCACATATGTACTGGATATGTGCCAGGGTATGCCTAGAGTTGGTCTAGTTTATTATGAGGTACTGGTCAAGAGTTATTAGGAGTTTTCTCCAATTCTGTTTTTTTTTTTTTTTTGCCACACTCATAAAGGTTAGACCTGTGAAGAACCCAAGCAACAGTTGTTGATGCTCCGTCTCTCACATCTCACCTGCAGAAGCTTGGGACTCCTTTAGTGTTCACAGGTATATTGGCATTTTGGCACAATCTCTCAGTTTGTGACAACAGTTCTTAGTAAATTTGGATGTCCCATATTCCCTCCATTCCTCTATGATTAATTTACCAGAACTAATTTATGACACCAGTAAAAACATTAGACATTCAGGAAGTACCAGGTAAGGACCAGATAGGTACTGGTTACTTACCTGCACTGGGTACCAGCTGTTAAAAAATACATTTACTGATTTCCGAGGAGGTTTCATGTACTTAGGACAGCAAACTTTTTAATGTAAGCAAAAGAGTTGGTTCGCTGTAATTGCATGTGCATTTTGACACAGTTTTGTTTGACTATTTCTGGCCTTGTCACTTTGTTTACCCAGCAATCTCAGGGGACAGGAAGCAGAAAAGGGCAAAGTGCTAAGTGACTTTATTGCGGCATAAATCATGCTTTGTTTTTTGGTAAAAACAAAGAGAGAGTCCATTATTCATTAAGATTGAACAAAGCTTCAACAAGCATTTACAAAGCTGAGGAATAATGGGTTTCCTGTTGACAGAGCTGAGACTACAAGCTCACACACACACGGAGCTGTGGACTGCAGATATGTTCTGAACATTTAGCATTTTGATGCTGTTGTAAAAAAAACCTCATTGACTCTAGCTTTGGCATTCAGTTCATCTCAGCACATGGAGAGAATAATAACACAGTCCATTAATTGTGAATGATGCTTTTAAATGGTTACTGATAACTTTATTTTCTAATCATGGACATTTGTTTGCATTTATGTTGTGTTTATGAAAACTTGTATAATTTGTCTGCATTGGTGCAAATGCTGCACAGCTGTTTGAACCCTTCAGATGTGCTTGTCTCCTTCACTTACACATGACTCTTCTTACTTGTCCACTACTGTGGATCACTCGGCTGCAAGTGTCAATTAAATCTTCATCCTACACCACAGAGTATTAAATGATGGAAATTGGTTAGCCACTTTACTCATGATTGTTTTCTCTTACTGAAGTCAGATGAATGCTAAGAAAAAAGTGAATCTAGCTGCTGAAATGGCTTTTTGAGTTTCAGCAAAGCACTGCCGAGCTGCCTTTGAGCAAGATCCTGACCCCAGGAGCAGGGGAATAACTGGGTCAGTGTAGCAAACATAAAGCTGCAGTCCTAAAAAAGGCTTGTGTCTGAAGGAAATTATGTACACTGGGCGATCATATAGTAATGTCTGCAAACAGAATAATGGCTCCTAGTCTATTGCAGATACTGAGCTATAACTTGGTATAGTAAGAGCTAAGAGTCATCACCAACACATACTCTCAATTCTAACAGAGTGACGCAATTACACAATTGTGTAAGCAATAACACAATTTTTTGGTTTTAGAACTATTTACCCATTCAGTGCAAGCGCAGGGTGGTGGGTGACAGTGGAAAGAAATGACTTCCTTTTAACAGGAAGAACACTCCATTAGAATCAGAACCAGGATAGGTGTCCATCTGCTTTCATCGGGACGGGGAGGACAGTAAAGCGACAAACACAGAAGCAAGCATTGTTTCTATAGAAAGAAAATCAAACAACACGCAAGTGGCAAAATTCAGTTGTGTGATATAATATCTGTGTTTATGAGTTCTGTTTTATTTAAGGACAACAGCATCAAACATAATTAAAAACTGTCTCTCTTCACTATAACTGTAACAGATTAGCATAGTATTCTGTTGTATCGATATTATAAAATTCCTATCAAAATTTGTTGATACGTGTATTTTTGTTTCTGGTAAGCTATGAAACCTCAAAAAAACACCCAACCCAACTGACTGGAATGGGGTTTTGATGTCAAAGCATTAAAAAAGGCACAGAGACGATGGCTGTGTCTCAACTCAGGGGCTGCAGCCAACATAGACATCAGCCCATGGAGGCCACATCCTTTGCAGTCCAGGTAGGCTGCATAAAATGGATGTGAAATGAGAGGGTCAGGTCTTTGGATGTTTGCATGACCACTCGTTGTCCCGGTACCTCTGTATTACATTTTATATCCCATATCTTCAGTTGAAGCATGTATTCACACGGGAGCTAACGTCACAAAATTTACCTATTATTAAAAAATGTTACATGTAAATAAATAAATAAAAAACATTAATAATTTGGGTTTAGCTCCAGTATCAGCACTTGGAATTCTAACATCTCATTTCAGCAAAGCATTTCATCAGCTAAGCTAGAAAAAATACATTTAAAACAAATTTGGTCTATGATGAAATTCCAAACTCGCTGTAAAAAATGTTTTCATGTTTAGTTTCCTGATGAATTATGGAATATAGTCAACTGCATACGATACTTAGATGCAGCCTACATTTACAGAGTTTTGCTGGCCGCATGAAATGGGACAGCCTACTGCATGGTACAGTGCTGTAAACGGCCTACAAATGCAGACTACGTGGGCTGCATCCCTTGAATTGAGGCACAACCAAAGTGTGGAGTAGTGAAATGACTTCTCCAAAGCAACTCAAGTTCCCGGTTACATTAATTATTCTTTGAGCCACAGAGTGTTTCAGAGAATTTTATTAGGTCACAGCAATGCTTACCTATAATCCTCTGGATACAAGATGCCGCCACCTGTTTATTCACCCATCTGTCCTCTATTCTGGCCTTATCCTGAAGACGCTGTGGAGCTTATCTCTGCTGTCGCTGAGGGAGAGGTGGAGACTGAAGTCTTAAAAGAGTGTCATCACATGGCCAACAGAAATAAAGATAACCACTCATATTTTTTATACACAGAAAAGACTCTCCTGAGAATTGATCCCAAAGCATTTTTATTGTCTGCCACGTAAGGGAAAAGGGTTGTGTGTTTGTTTGTTTGTCAAATTATCGTATAAACTCCTGAATACATTTTAAGGAACCTCCCTTGTTTGTACATCTAATTTTTCATTCCCAACACATATTCTGAGCAAAAACACGTCTTATAATATCACAAGATCATGTGCAATGTTATTTTGAGGTTTGACAAAAATGATAAAAACTCCATCCCTTCTCATCATAATCTGAGCTGAGTCTAACATTCTGGCATGAAAGGAGGCAGGCGGTTGGCAATCCTTCAAGGAATGCCAGGCACTTGATTTGCCTTTTAGAAAAAGAGTTAACTACTGCACCACTGTGCAGACACTCACCTAATTACGGTATTCACTGATGCTGCTTCTAAATTTGACAAACTTCTTCACATCTCCTTAAAAAAGAACATGTGAATGGGAATTAACTTGTGGTTATAAGTGCTACTTGATGTTACATACAGTTGATACATACTCAGTATGAAGCAATATGTCAGGTGTAAAGTGTTTACCAAAGAGTTCACATTTCATATGTTATGTTGACCTAACAAGCAGGCTGTGCTTTGGTCACACATTAGTTTTTAGTGGCCATTGTTTTTTTTTCTTTTTCTTTGCCATTCATAAAACAATGCACACGCATTTAGGAGCGTTTATAAATGCTGTTACAAATAATAACAGGAAAATCCATGCCATAGGAAGTTTTAATCATAGCTTCTTGCAATTATTCTCATCTGTCAGATTTCCCTGAAAAGCAAATCATATGCTGAATTACCCCAGCAGCTACATCCATTGCTGTGACTGCACACAGTTCAGAGTTGAGCTGTGTTGAATGTGATAACTAAATGCCACTATTCGTATCCCAGCAAGATTGCCATGGTAACTTTTACAGCAAAGCACCAAGGTGCTTGTTCAGACATGACACC